AAGTCCAATATTGGCTACTCCCTTATTTTCTCCTCTACCCACACATCTTATGATCAATGTAAGATTGAGCCATCTGCAATTATCTGGGTCAGCCTGTTTGTGGGTTGGTTTGTGGTTGTTTTTTTTTTTTCCTTTTCCTTAACCTATCGCATCACATTGTCTCCTCTAGGCTTTGGGAAGTTTCATAGTATTCCAAAAATCATTATTAATAATCTAAAGATCTTGTTTCCTTTTAGAGCCTCAGTGTCTGACATTGTGAAAGCCTAATACATACACATAATTTTTTCAGTTAGTGCTGGTTGCCTGCAAGCCATTGCTATTAGTCACATAAGTGACTACAGAATACATTCTTCAGGCTGAAGTCTTACAAGACAACACAACTTTATTGTCTGTTCATATATATAGCCATGATCTTAGCAGCTTCTACTTCACAACACCGCACATGCAGCAAACTTCATATTTTATCCTCATTGCTTACCCACATGTTCAAATGTAATTTACATTTGGTTACCAGCAACACGAAAGACCTTGCGGGAAAATGCCATGCAGGTAGGAGTGCAGGTCTAGTCCATACTGGCAAAACAATCTCTGCAGCAAAATGAACAATGTTATTCCCAAAACTAAGCAGTACCTTTGGGATCTACTGACAGTGAAACACCAAATGAAAAGAAAGCATGGAAAGAGAAGCATAGCAATACTTTTTAAGACTAAAAACAGGTCTGCATCTTCTAACTGGGGAAGATTACTGTCTTCTCTAACACTCAGCAATTATGGGCCCGATTCTTTTTACGCTACATGTGAAAAAGAGTATACTCATACTGCTGCTCTAAGGCTGACCTTTAAAGCTAACTGGGATTGCCTTTTTTTCCACTCAGAATAGCCTAGGTCAAGTCTGAGCAATCAAGAGAGCTGTAAAAGTAGTGATTTATAACTTTTTGCAAATTACAGATTAGGACCCACCATAACCTTGGTTCTACTTCATCACAGACGCTATCATAAATGCTAGTGGGCAGCCATATCCTGATGGCTGCCATCAGTTTTAACAATGGTATTATAGTGACGGAGAGGGAGCTAGTATAGAGAAGAAAGAGTTGTAAAACAATTATTGAATTGGTTTCTAATAATGCCCTAACATAGATCTCTCTCTCCCTCTCTCAAACACACAAAGCAAAGCACAGTGGTCCAGCAAGCATACTTTGCTTTGTGCAGGGTGAAAGGACTTTCATGGGCAAACAAAGAGTTAATTATTGATCAGCAGTGAACACGTGGTTCTGAATGTAGGTAAAAGACAGAGGGGGCACTTACCAAATCTGCTAGGCACAGCTCAGAACAGAATACATCAGATAAATATCTTCACTTCTGCAAGAACGCACTAAAGCCAAGAAAGGTTAATCTGTGAAATGGCTCATTTTAGAAGTTTAAATTAGATGTACTATGTTGAAAAGCACCTGAGCAGGCAAAAAGAAAAGACAGCAGAGAAACTCTGGCTTTCTTTCAGACAACAACTTATTCAAAAGGAATACGTATGTTTTGTATTTGATGGCAGCTCATGTAAGAGCACATTCTGCAGGAGTGTCAAAGGAAGTCGGGCTGTGTAACTTGTGTGGTCATACACACGCTACAATGTAGAACAGCATTTCAGACTGCTCTCGTGCTAAAGGCTACAGAAGATACATAAACCTAAATACATTCACATGTTTTAAACCTCTATTTTTCCATAGGAGAAAAGTAAGTGTCCTTGATTGGGTGTTTCTTCAGTCAATGTTTGCCAAAACCAATTATTTAGGCAGGACCCAAAGCTATCTGCACAGAAATGCTGAAATGAATTAACAATTTCAAAGAAAAAGAAATATGTGAATTTCTTAAATATTGGAAAATCTAATTTCAGTGCTTTAAACAAATCTGTTAAGACCACTGGCTTTTGATCTGAAAAAAAAAAATCATTTTAACCAACAAAGAGAGGAGGATACACTAGCTTCCTCTCTTCAAACTACATTAATACCATGAGACTCAAAATTTTTGACTGACCGAAGAGAAGCCTTCCCCCCACCCCCCGTTTAATTTTTACCAGAAAATTTTCAGTTTGGCTCCACAAAGAATTTTGCTCCCACTCTAAACCATGTTTGTGTTCTCTGTGTTCCAGTTTGCCTTCTTTATTAAGAGATTTCTTTATTTGCCAACACGTACAACTGATATGCCACATCAGACCAGCTGCCCTTGTGCTACGTGAGTCCAGCAGCATATTCAACTTGGCTTTCTTTCTGTAGAGAATAAAAGTAGTAAGAACATCAGTGCCCACAACACAATGTTAACCAGGTGGTACAGGATTGCAAGAGTTTGCAACTAGGAAGGTTACCATCTTTTTATCCTAAATCCTTGTTAGAACTGAAAGGGGATTATCAAACAGAGGGCCTCTTATCAAGTTGTATAAGTACCTATTTCCAACAAAAGGTATGATACTTCGGATGAATTAACTTTCTCTTCTTTCATATGCTTGCATTTTCTACATCCAGGTATTTTTAATTTTTTTTTTTTTTTAAAGTAGACTTAGAACACTTCTTACAAGTTACTAGCAAATAAGGTTGTTTTCCAACAGGACAGCAGATAGGCGAGTTTCAGGAAGAAACATGAAATCAGTAAGCTTTTAGCATAATAAGACACTAAATTACATCTGTCCCTACGGACTTTACAACACCCAGGCAAATTCAAGGCATTCCAGTTCTCTAGCAACAGATCAGGCTGTTTGTTAGCAAGCTGGTTAAACAAGCTCCATTTTCCCACACCTAAAAATGTAGCCACAGAAGGACAAAGTTGAAATCACTCATTCTTTAACACTATTTCCACCCTTCAGTATTTATCATTTAGACTTTGATTAGACTTTTAGAAGAATAAATACAGAAGTGCACTTCCCATGCATTGCTTTGGAAGTCACTGCTTTGATTTTTTTTTTCTTTGTTTATTTTTTATTGGAAGCAATTCTTTTTTTGTATTTTAAAAGTAAGGTCATAACCCGTTCCCTGCGCATAACTTTGGTTCAGATTCAGTGGAATCAAAATTTCACCCACATCTTCACTGCATGCAGCACCTGTAAACTAGACTGTACTCAAAGCCCAAGATCAAGTGATAGAAATGTAGAAGGCAAGTAAAAAGCCACAAGAACTGTAAGATGTCTGGTAGTAAAGGGACTCCAGCAGAGCAGAACTTCTCGGGAGCTATTTTGATATAGAGGCAAAATTCAGATAATGACCATGCAGGATTTGCAAGAAGCTACAGCTGAGGTTACTATGTTTGCATATGTTTACAGCAGTTCCTACAGCAGCAATCTTCACTTCTAACGGGAACTTTCAATACCAGGCCCAAACAGAAGAAAAGGATTAACGTACAGTACAACTGCTGCAAGTAAAACCAGGTCAAATTTGCTTGCTCAGGTACAGCCAACTTTGATATCCAGCCAAGCAGAGCACTGCCTATTAGCCACCAAGCACCAGGTTTTGCTAAAAATGCCATAAGACATTAAGTATCATGGTACTGATGGAAGCCATTGGCAAGTTCTCTTCAGTTCTGCTGCTCCTCTGTTTTTCTGCTAGGGTCAAAGAAAAATGCCTTAACCAGTTTATATTAAAAAAAATAAATTATGCCACTTACAGCCTGACAAAGAAGAATGTGGCATTTGTTAACTAAACATACTGGAGACCAGTGAAAGACTAATTCACCTTCCTAAAGGAGGAGAATAGACATCTTTTAGGGAGAAGGATGTTTCAAAAGATTCTGACAGAGCAAAGGAAAAAAAAAACCAACATCACTGCTGATTATTTTAAGTCATACTCCCACTTTGTTCCCCTCCACCCCCCTCTATTTGTTGGGTGGAGGATAGCTACTTCCTTTATTACCCAAAAGCCCAAAACATCTTTGAGGTTAGTCTGACAGGGAAAATCCTATGGCATGACTCAGTGGGTGTGGTTAAGTTTTAACAGGTTTCAGCTAGCATTATGCTTCACTTATACAGACATTGCTCAAGATATTGTCCAAGAAAGAGGAAGTGAAGATAGATATCAAAAGAGGAAAGCCAATTTAAGCATAGTACACAGAACTTGATTACAGGCTTTCATGTAAATAAGAGCATGGTACAGAGGACACCCAAGATGAGGACCAGTTGTGCCAGAACAGGGACCAACCCTCCTGCCCAACAGTAAATTCAGTAAGTTGCAGATGCCCAACTTCAGATTACTTTGCAGAAGGTAAGTTGGATGTTTGGGAGACAAAGATGCTGTCCTGAAATCTAAACAGAGTTTAAGTGAACCCAATAAGTACAAATATATATATATATACACACACATATATACGATCACCCTTACCTCCCATTTTCCCCAAAAAGGAACCCATGCTATTAGACCACCAGTTAGTGTAGTTGAGGCAGACAAGTAATTAAGAATGAACCTTGCTGTACCATAGCAATCATCTCCCTTTACCTCCAAGCTATAATTTTGTTGATAAGATCTTTCTTGTCTTTATTACCAGATGAATGGGCTACATACTAATATTCCTCCATCTCCCAAAAAAATCCATCTCAAAACACTAGTCTTGCTCAAGTATAAATCTAAATCACCTTTCAAAGATTGTTTAGTTATAGCTATTTTAGTTTAAGATGTAGTCAAACTTTCCTAACAAGATGACCACTTACTTCCTTTCAGCTTTCACATTCCTTCTCCAGCTAGAGGAAACATAACCATTCATAACTGGGCAAAAACCCGCATAGCTCAAGTGAATTTAAATGGGAGGAACAATAAAAAAATCCACATTTTCAGGAATCAGCAATGAAGCCAAAAGCATTAGGCTTCCAGGAAAGCCGATCTTAGCTTCCAATATAGACAAAAATAGTTTTATGTTGAAAGCAAACTGAAGGAACTATGGAGAAAAAAATCCCACCTCTCAGTGCAGTGTCTGTATCAGAATGACAGTGATTTATTTACATTACACACAAAGATTTTTATTAAAAAGGCTGGTAATGGAACATTTTATTTTGATGCATCAACTCGATAAAAGGTTAGTTACAGAAATTGTGTATAATGTTGCATAAGTCACATGAATGGGTTATTTAAAAAAAGATTTGATAATTAGAGGAGGACATCTCTTATTGTAGTTACATTGTAAAGTGCCTCGTGTAGTCATATTCTATCGTTGGAATGACCGCCTGTACAAATTTCAAGAAAATAAGAAGGTACCTGAGTTTCTTGTTAAGGAAAATGTGCAATAGCTAGAAACCCTGTAAAACAAGGCAGAAGTCAATTCAAAGGTCGACTCAACAGTATTTCTTGCTAATAGGAAAATAACACCTAGCAATTAGACAGTTAGAGACTTGGAAATTAATATAGCAGAACTCTGGTAATGACATCTGATGCTTGTGTAAACATACAGACCTTCCTGTTCCAAGTTAAAGCCGGGAACCAGGAGTTATTTTCAATAAATCTTACAAACAGGACACAAACATTTACAATCCCATTTACATACTAAATAGTGGTTACTAAAAAATGCCAATGTGAATTGTACCTAGCAAGGCTAATCCCTAGCTACCTTCCTGTAGTTGCAGGGAAAGTAGGCTCTTCCTCAGTATTTCAGTGGCTCAGAAATAGATTCCTGTTCTAAACCATCTTTTGAAAGAGCTCCTCCCTGTTGATGGGGGGAAGTAGAGATGTCAGCTTTGCTAAGGTGAGAAGTTTGCCTTTGTAGAGGAGACCTTCCTCATCTACCTTGTGTATATCACCTTCAAATGCACGTTGGGCATGAATCTGCAGTCTAGAGTTTATCAGATAATTATGAACCACCTGGGACTGTGGCAGACAACAAGCTGAAAAATTAAAATAAATCATTACTTTCAGCTGACAAGTTACATTGGTACTGGCTATAGGTAAACTACTATTTTGGCAGGTCAGTCTCACGGACCATTGATTTCTCAACAAACACAAACTACATGATCATAAGGGAAGAAATTGCTTGTTAAAAACCCCTCAAATTGTTAGGCAATAGCAAAAAAAAATAATCAAAAAATCTTGAAAATAAGCTATTTGTAACTATTGAGGAACAGAAGACTTGAACTATCTTGCCAGAAAAGTTATTTTCTAGTTCAGTTTCAGTTGCTTGCTGCACAAATTGAGCAAGTCTCAACTCGTACAGTGAATGAGAATTTCACTGATTCAGGGCCTATAACTGCTCAGTAATCCCCCTTTGCTTGCCTTATAGCAGCAAAAGAACACTATTTTGAAAGGACACACTTGCTTCTAACATGGAGGTTACTTCAGTCAGAAAGCACAGTATCAATTACTACAAAGCATAACTAAGATCAGCCACTTGCTAAAAGAAAATTCTAATTGTGGGGCATTTCATATTGATGTTCAGAATGGTTTCAGTAATTTTCACTGCTTTTTTGTCAGCCGAATGTTTTACCAAGATATTGCTCACATGCAGAGTAGAGAATAATAGGACCTCTACACCGTTCAGAAATGAAACTTAAGATTCAGGTCTGATACAGAAGCTGCTGTACCAAGAGCAGTAATCACACTCTGGCCAGAGTCTGTGAACCTCCAGCCTCATCCTCCTACACTGGGGTCTCAGTTTCATACTCACAGCTACCTCCTTCACACCCCTACAAACAAGGGCTCAATCCTGTCCCTTCAGTCCTATGTACTTTCCCCATTGCTCCTGCTACCTTCCCCCTGCTCCCAACAACTGATTAACAGAGTTTGTTGGTACAAACGAGCTCATCCCAGAACTCTAGTAAGTGCTACCACAAGCAGTTGTTTACTGTGTTCATGCACAATTGCATTCCAGTTTATGAACGATGAGGTAACAGCTCCTTACACTGCAAGAAATCCTGAAGAATACCACGTAGTAATGAAAAAGGATACATGTGAACTCCAAGTTCTCCCCCACCTTCTGCAACAGTTTCGATTATTTTCTTCATGACTTCTGCATGCCTAAAACCAGATCAGAAACAGTGAAAATATTTCAAGGATAAAGCAACTCCCTCTTCATCTCAATAAGTTTGTTTTGTGCAAATTAAATAGCATTGTACTGTTAGCTTCACAAGCAGCAAGAGGAAACTTCCAGTTTACTAAGGGAAAAAAATCCCAACAGTAACTGAAAGTTAATATTAAGTGATGAATGTAACACTATTTGCCAGCTCCTTACATTCACAAGGGAGGCGAAAGATGTTCTATGCTACAAGGTAGACTGAGTGCCATAATGAGAGTCAATACATATTGCTTGTCACTAGTAGAAATTTTAATTGATAAATGCCAAAGAAGCCACCAGGTAAGTCCCCAGAAGGTAAGCCGCACGAACAGCAAGCCACCAGAGGTTCCCAGATGATCCCTGAAGAAGATGCTTAGAAATTGCTACAATTTTTTTAGCTCAAACTGCTGCACTCTTAAATTTGTAGAACTTAAGAGGTATCAAATATTTAAACAGTTCATAGTTTCCTAGGAAAGGCAGGCTAACCCAACCCTGCATAAATACAGAACTGTTGTTCTGGGACTGACTTAGGGTATGGAAATTTTCTCTAGCAGTAACTTGGGTTCTGTGGCAGATCAAGAGTTTCTAAACTAGCCACTTCTCTGTCCTGACTCTGTTATTGTAGAGCACTACAAACATCTCCTCAGGTCACTCTGCTTTGACATTAAGTAATCAGTAACATTCCAGACCTACTATGAACCACAAAAACATTTATGTACAAAGCTGATCCTGGGAATATAACATGGAATTGCAGAATAGCTAAGGTTGGAAAAGACTGGTCATCACCTAGTCCAACCATCCTTGCTCAATGAGCAGTAAACTAGAAGAGACTGCTCATCTTACTTTCATCTATACTTCGACTTTGCTTATAATTCATAATTCTGTAGGCAATCTTTATCAGTGAGGTCCTATATAGCCATGGACATACACCTACACAAGACTGCAAGCCAGTTAGCAGCAGTTTAAAATATCATCCTGAAACAACCTGTGTGCCTACCGAGAACAAGGAAGAGTAGTAAGCAGAGTTTGCATAACTTTCTGACCATACTTTGATACCATTATGCAAATCTAAATAGCTGAGCAGTAACTAGCATTTAGTAGTTACCTCCAAAGTTAATCATGCTGCCAGTGACTGCAAACACAAGGAAGGAAGCTGTTGCAACAAGTTACCAAGACACACTCTAAACAGGAACATGCAAGTCTGGGGAAATACTAAAGGTCAGCATTTGTCATTTGCTATGCTGTTGGTCTTTGCAAATCAGCTAACCGTCACAGTTGATTCCAATTCTGGATCCTCACGATACCCCTGTAGAGCACATGCCATATCTGGTGCCAAGGCCAGTTGCTTCTATATAGGAACCTGGCCACTGTCAAAACATAAGCTTTGACCTCGTCCATAACAGCAGACTATTTTTTGTACTGGCACAGAATACAGGTCACCCTACAGCAATCAGAAGTCCTGAACAGGATCCTGACTCAACTTCATACATCTTAATGACATTTGTTCCTTTCTGTTTTCTAAATACTAGTTAGATATCTGGAATTCCAGATAATTCCATTCTGGTCATTCTTATTATCATGCAGATACTCATGAAAAGCTTTGCAGGTGACTTTATAAACTTTCCTGTTTTCAGCTTCCTATAAGAAAATTTTGAGGAATTAATATGAAGTATGCATACTCCCCCCCACCCCCCCGAAAAAAAAAAAGAAAACTTTGGAAGAAACGTCATCTAAAATATCCTGCTGTCTAGAAATCTGATTTTTTTTAACTGCTGAATAAAAGTCTCCCAGAAAAAACTCTTAACTCCAGATGACTAAACACACTATGCGCTCACGAATGCTTGTTTCAGAACCTGTTTGTAGATCACTTGAGCTATCAAATAGATCAAACATTTAAAATATCTACTAAAATCACCTAATTTACTTTCAAGTATATCAACCAACTCTTCAGGTGGTTCAAGTAACATAAATGAGTTATTATTCAGATTCCAAGTTAGAAATACTGCTGTTCCTATTGAAAATAAATTGAAATATACACAGTTAAAACCATACATTAAAGGGCTAAAAGTAAGTTGAAAGAAGCTGATTTTCTAGATTGATCAGATGACCCTTTATGATCTCAGGGATATTTACTTTCCAGCTGAAGAAACCCTTTCCCACTTTGCAATTGACCAAAGCTGTCAGTCAAAACTTTTATCAACTTCACATTGGAATTTAGCACAGCTGACATACTGACATTGTCTGAATATCAGCTGGAAGGGAAATATATACCATCAGAAAGTAAAAGTAAAAAATAAGCCTTCCTGACATAGGGGGGAGAAAAACCCCAATACCAGAAGTTACTCATTTCTCCCCCTGGCAGTTCATAGAGATAAAAGGCCTTCCACAGGACTTTAAGTATAGTGGACAACAACTATAAGCTTCCATAAAATAGGATAAAATGCAAGACAAAGATTAAATGCAAGATAAAAATAAAGAAAAAAAATTACGTATGCACTTGATTCAGTGTCTGTAACTGCTCATGCACAATGAGACATGTGTGGAAAAACCCACAAATGTCATCATTAGGAGAAACATTCTGAATCCCCAATAGTCAGTTAACTTTTAAGATCTACAATTCACTGATCCTTGCAGTTGTGTCTAGTCACTTCCCAGCTGATATTTAGAGTATGTTGGAAGGAAAAAGAGTTCAGAAGCCTACCACCACTTATTCTGAAATAGAGGAAAACAAGTCCTTGGAATCAGTGCTAGTAATTCAGATGTAATTGTAAATGTGTTTAGCAGTTAACTAGTTTATAAAACTTCATAAAACCCACATAAAAAAGTTGAGAATTGTGATTAAACCAGTTTGCAGCAATTATTGAGGAAGTTCCTCCCAGTACCATAGAAATGCTGACAAGAAATACAACTTATAGCAGAGCTGCAAGATGAACAGTTTCAACTAACTACTCAAAATAGAAGCAATCTCAAGCAGCTGACAGCAGCATCTGACTGCCATTTCTTTCCTTCCTCTGATGCATGACATAGGGATATAGACGTCACAAGAAACAGCCAAGTAAATTTAGGACCATCCAAATACCCTACGTTACACAATTCTTGTAACGTGCAGGGAAGCAAAGCAGCAGAGCTAGCTAAATACTGGTACTTCCCAGCTAAATTTAGAATAAAACAATGTTTTCAGGTATTACTTTTCACCTCAAGCTCAGACCTTCTTAGCTGTTAGGCTTACCAATTTAAGAAAATATAATAGCCCACCTCAGAGAGTAAGAAACATACTTAAAACCTCTATTTTAGACACACTGTTAGCCTCTTTCTTCACAGTCTCAAGATGACCTTTTCAAGCCCTTCTGATGTTAAGCAGTTGCTGGTCAAATCAGTTACTTTTTGAGAAGGACTAGACAGTTTCCTCCACATTTAAGACTACCAACAAATCTGTCTCACTGCAGTATCAATCATCACTTTCATGCTTAAAAAATAAATTGGAACAAGACTCGTGATGCAGACCATTTCTTCACGTGTAGATGTGGATAACATAACAAAGCCACTGGCACTTTGCTGGCTTCAGAGGAAGAACTGAGAACATGCACACAGAGCTCTCCATTCATGAAGACTCTCAATCCAAATTCACAGACTAGCATCAAATTGGTTCTTACTCTGCAAAGGTGTTGGTAAAATTAAGCAGATTACATTGCAGCCACAGCCCAGTATAAAACCCACACATCTACCTAGTCAGTGAGGGCTATCATGCTCAAATATCTGGTCATCTTTGTTTTTTCTGAGATTGCCCTTCCAGCCTGCATCCATCAACAGAAGCTTCCTCCCAACCAATTTATTAGCAGGGCTTCCAGCAATCACTAAATTAAGCCTTGGCTTCCGCCTTTTTTCCTCCTTTTCTTCTATTAAATTAATAATCTTCCTAGTCTGTCTGTTAAGTCTTCCCACATTCAGAACTGGTATGTTCATGTAAGGTAGAAGAATACCCTACTGGATAAAAAAAAAAAAGCAGCAAATGAAAAAACATAGGAGAATTTTCTTTTATAGAGTTCTAGTAGCCTGCCATCTTCTGGAGTACGTAGGAAAGCAGAGGAAAAGCAAGTCAAGCAGAGAGAAGACAGCTCTAACTACAAAATACACTTGCAGCAGTGAGCACTGAAATGACTTCAGAGAATTGCTGATATCTTCCTTTCATACTGCCTGAGAAGCTAGCTAGCAGACTACTATGGCAGCCAACTGTGGAAATACATCCAGAAAACCTGAAGCAAATCCTTAACAAGACTAGTGAAGTGCCTTGTGTCTGCATGCTGAATCAGACCAGAAACACAGACTTACCTGCATGGATGAACTGAGCACATGGGAGGTGGAGGAAGATGAGGATGGTTTTCAATGGTCACTGTTTTCTTGACGTGATCTTGACTAATATCTTCATACATATGCTCTACTGTTAAAGGCTGCCGTTGCTATATGGGAAAAAGGAATGAGAATAAAAACATTACTAACAAAGAATCCCTTGCTCATTCTCAACAATTCCAACATCATTAACAGATGAAGCACCATAAATTATAAGCATCTTATATACAACAGTTCTGAAGGTACACTGAAAGAACCAAGTGTGTTAAAATCCATATGGTGTAGAAAGATTACTGCACACATTTTTGTTTCTAATACACCAGGTAAACGGTAAAGTCAATGTATTTAAGAACCATCTAGGTTCCTATTTAGGTATTTGAGATGTAAGCCCTAACCAACTTTAACTCAAGAAACTTAGTCACTAAAGGGAAGAGTGATTTACTTAGTCCTCTCCCTCTGAAGATCCTGAGAACACATACCTGCTTACTTGACTGAGTTCGCTGGGGTTGTTACTAGCTCAACAAAGCTAACAGAAACTCAAATGACAGAGCATGATTTCCTTCCTTCCAAATGGGCTTGGTTACCAAGTACAATTTTCAGTTAAACTGTTCCTACCTCCTGCAAGTACCATAAGTCCTGACTGCAACCCTGACTGTACAATGGTTTTCTCACCATCTTTTTCTTTAAATTTCTACTGTGAATAAGCAACAAAATAACCTTGCTATTTGACATGGCAAGTCTAATTTCACAGAAGTGGGGAAAAAACCAACATAACTATACCTCATCATATCCAAATAACCAGAGCCTTGGAGTTTGGTAATATTTGTCATAAGTGATGTAGAGGTCATAAGTTCTTGTCTGTAGAATAGCATCTTCCCCTCCAACATCAACTTTAGCTTTGTTAGCTTCTACAATCTGTCTTGTGTCAAGTGTTGCCTGGTTCGAGGTAAAAATGACAACATTAGCATAGTCTTGAGTTCCCTCCTTTCCCATCCTAAGTAGCTATGTAAAGCTGCAAGACTGAAATTAATGGTCTTAAGCAAGCATTAAAAAAACCCATAGGCTTTGGGTTTTGTTTTTGTCTTAAATTAGAAGTACCAGTTTCTCTCCCAAGTGGTTTTTGGTTTTATTTTTGTTGGGTTTTTTTATTTTTTAAAAAGAGCTCTGATTTCTTATGGAAGCTTGCCACTACATTGTCACATCCCCATCCCTTGTTTCACCAATAACTTTTGAATCCAACAGAAAATTCAGAAGCCAGAGGTCTCAGTTTATGCAGGCTCATGAAGACCTTAACAGAGTACCCCAAATAATGATGCCCTCTGTTTTCTCTCATGACAGTCTGGTGCAACAGTGTAATCTATTGAACCTATAAGCCACTCATCCTCTACATGTAAGCCTCAGGAAGAACCACTGCGTTTTTCATCTCTTGTGAATACAGCGCTGTGTGTAAGCAGAGTGAAAAGGAGCAGTAAAAAAAGCAAGATTACTGTGATCAAAATCTTTGACGATCTAAGAGATAAGGTAACTGCAGTAGATTGGCAGGAGACAAATCCATAGGAAACCAGGCTTGGTAATCCCACTGATCACAACAAGCTTGGTATGTCAGCCATTTCTTATCACTATTTTTATTTTGCTTGTGCTCATATTGGTGATAAGCATTGTAACAGACAAGATAGAGAACTGTTCACTCACATCATCTGTCTCCAATAGCCCACTTTCTTCATACTCTGAAAAGAAGACCCATAAAATTCTGTGTTCAGCTTGTAGCTAGTCATCATATTTCTCATTCATAAACAGCTTCTTTAAAACAATCTACATGTATCTAAAGATGTTTTATTCAGGTAGACTTCCCAATCCCCAAACCAGAATATACCTTTTTTAATACAAATTTGACCAAAATTACAGTAAGTACGTGATGAGCAAGCCTTAAGTGATTTTAAGTAGGCAGACTGAGTTTAAGTGTGGGTATGAATCAGGCAGGAAACTGTGCTAAATCCTTAATTTATACTTTCTTGGATCTGTTCTGCTATACCTAATTTCCCAGTCACTAACTTTCAGATAGTCCTCAGCACACAAGCTAGAATAAACATGCATCAATAAGAACACACAAAGATGGTAAAAAGCATATGCCTGCTCAATTTTTCAGCATGCATTCCATGAAAAGAAAGAATAGTGTTTTCTTAGAGTGTACTGCCTTAGTTAAAGGCCTGAAATAAAGCGTGTCCCACTCCATTTAAGGAAATACCTTCCATGTCTGCAGCTTCTCCTTCATCTTCCTCATCATCATCTTCACAAGATGCTGAACGTTCTGGTATTTTTATATTATCCTTTAAAAGTTGAAAACACTGCTTTAAAGCCTGCTGCATCTACACAGCCTAACAGCCCCAGTAAATTTAAGGTGTAAGTCCAGTCAATACATACAGCAAACCAGAAAAAATAATTTCTGCAATATTAAGAAGGACTATACTGGGCTCAAATATCTGCTTATTAACCAAACTTAGTTTCAAAGTCCTAGTATGACATTAAAAATCCACTAAAAAGGACTGTAATCTGGAATGATTTAATTCTTAAGCAAAGAATAATAAGCATGGTGTTAAACAGCCCGTAATTTCTTTTAAAAAAACAAACACGTATCTCAAAAGTCAATGACTAAACAGCTATACTAAACACATAAGTTAAGATTTTGTATGTCCTAACCCACAGCCAACCGTGCAGCAGTTATCATAGAATCTCTCAAGTTGGACAGGACCCATAAGGATGATCAAGTTCAACTCCCTACTTCTCGCAGGACTACCTAAAACTAAATCATGTGACTAAGAGTGTCATCCAGTTCCATAATTATTTTTAAAACACAAGAGAGTCCCAAAAGATACCACATTTTGATATCATTGTCTGAGGGAGCACAGTCCAACAGAAATGAATACAGCACAAGCCCTCAGCCAACTTTTTCTTTGGGCCTACGCACAGCATTTGAACCCAACAGACAACCCCAGTGAGATACAGAAGGGGGAGGTCTCGATTTACGCAGGTATCATGAAGATCTTATGAGAATACTCCAAATAACGATGGTAATTAGAAGCTGCTCTAATTGTAAGCATCAGGTGGCTAGTTTCCTCTTTAAAAAAAAGCCCAAACAAACACCAAAACCAGAAAGTTGTGAAGTGCTTTGGCAAACAGAACATTAGCAGAGAAAGAGCTGTCCTTCTAGGTTGGACCCATCATCCAAGAAATTAAGTACTGTACAACAAGCAAGTTTTTCTATATACAATATATTAGACATTAACTTCAATTCATAACACACAACAGCAAAGGATATACACAAAGTATATTTTAATCTCTCACAGGCAGTACTAGATTACTGCAGTTAAGGCTTCTACTACCTTTAGGTCCTGTAATAAAGCAAGAGGAAAATTTAGGAACAAGTACCTTACTGTCTAGTGTGATCTCCTTAACTGCTTCTGTTGCACCCACTATGCCTGTTAATTGAACAAGAAGTTTGCATTAAAAAAAAAAAGCTTGTTTCTTTGTTACAGAATAGTACAGAAAGAGGTTGCAAAGACTGCAGAAAGCAGCACGTGATCTTTCCAAGTTACATCTCACAACAACTTTGATATTTGAAGCGCTGTTTATTTGGTATTGGTAGCATATTTGGTGCTGGACATCCAAAAGAAACCACACCAGTAACACAGAGCAGAACAGTGCAGCTCTTGCACATCACATAGATTTTGTTGATGGCACACCGCAAAGTAATTTGGATTTTTATATTTAGGAATTTTTGCATAAGAGTGAGTTCAGGATAGGCATTCACATCACAATAATGAAACTCAACTTTGTGAGCAAGGCATGCCATTTCTGAGCATCTTGAAAGCAATGTGTTAATGACAAAGCATAATATAGCACAACACTCAATGCTTATAGCTGAGAGAATGCAGGGGTAAAAAACATCCCAAATCCCAGTAGTACCTACTCTTGAGTTCCTCCCCATTAGCTTTCTAGTTTTACTGCAGCTCTCACCTGATACCCTTTGGGATACATGACTAGATTCTGTTTTGACACAGTACATTTACCAAATTAACTCTTCAGCTGAAAACAAGTTACATCACTATGGAGAATGAACCTGGAATGAAGTAACTGCTCATCAGAAATATCAGTTTAAAGAGAAGGAATGCCAGTTGAACGCTGCTTGGAAACAATGCATTTCCAGTGGCTGTGTGATTATTTACATATGTTTTTTTCCTACCAGAAAAAGTGGTGTTATAAAGGATATCTATACAGATTGGTGGAAACAGATTTTTTTATCTCCTTTGACAGTGTTTGGACATCTGGCTTGGTCTAATCAGAATCTTATAGTTGTGCTACCACAGCATCGTGCCCAAACCAGTCAACCCTAAGAAGGAAAACTTGACAGAGGAGTCTATCCACAGCAGGGATGGTGAATGCATCCTTAATTCAAGGATATGGCAAAGCTATGTCAAATGGCAGGGGGGTTGGAACACTATGATCTTCAAGATCCCTTCCAACCTAAACCATTCTGTTTCTATGAAATGACTTCTTTGGTGTGGGGTGTTCACCTATAAACTGTGATACATTTAAGAATTACCAGTATGAAAAATGTACATCTTCAGAAACAAAACGCATCTTCTCCCACCCTTTTTTCCCTAGCCTGGCTGAACTATTTAGAGAACTTCTTCCACATTACAGCATAAAATTTACTCCAAAGAGCTAAAAACTGATTACAGTACCTCCTAGGTTTGGAAATGGTAGAGAAAACATCATTGAAAGACAGTTTTATTAACTCATGATAGAACATGAAGAAACAGACTAAAACTAATAAAATTGCTAATTCGTATAAAAGAATAAAAGGATTCATAAGAGGCTGTGCTAGAAAAGCTAATGAGACAGATTCATGTAAGCAGTAATTTTTAGACTTCTTTATAAACACAAATTCATGTAAGGACGTAGTGTAAAAAAGGATCATCTCCCACACCCATCTCTGTATTTAATGATATTTTCTTCTAGTGTGTCCCCCTCCCCCCAGTGACCTCAGATTACTAAGATAATAGTTATTTCCCAATGATTCCCCCTCTTAGCTCAATCCAACAATTCAACAGAATGGGAAACACTGAAAGAATTAAGTCAGTTGAGGTCGCAATTAAGATAAAGATCTCAATATGCTTCACATGCAATCTTGCTAACAAAGAAATTTGCATATTCTTCAGACAAATAATTTAAACCAGCATTCTATTCACAGGATCTCCTTACTAAGGAACAAGCCACTACACAGCTCATTTTTAAAATAAGATGACAATATGGCAATAATTTAATGTCAACACCTCTAAAAAGTAGCCTGTTTCAGGCTTATACAGCCATACAGTTAAACATCTGAACAGTCATGTACCAATCAAGTGGGTAGCTGGCAACATAACTTATTTCTTCCAGATTAAATACTTGTACACAGCCATCTGTATCTAAGAAAGATTTTACTTTCTAAGAGTGGAAACCGAAAATCTTTCAGATTACCAAACCCAAAGTGTGAAGCGAGACTATGAATACCTGCATTGTGAAAAGTGTCTACCCATCCCCCATCACCATCATCTTCTTCTATAATTGCTTCCTGCTCATCTGAGTACTCCATCTGCTTACACCTTTTGTAGCATGGCACTGCAAATAATTGCAAAACAAAATGAATGCAGTCATTCCTACACAAAACGAGACTGGAGCAAGAAATTATCCTACAAAGTCTTCTGAATCAGATATTTATGCTATGTATTAGGTATGTCTAATTATAAATTAATATTGAGAAATTTAGAAGAGGTTAGAATTAATGTGTTATCTAGAATAACTTCAGTAATATCCATCATAGAGCCATTCAAGTACAGTTTTATACAATTTTTTCATGAAATAGTCAAAGAAAGAACACGGATCTGATTAACGGACCTTTTCCAACATCACAAACAAGGAATACGTAAAAAATGCTTCTTTTCTACTAACTGTGCAAAAAAACCCCCAAAACAGCTGCATGAAGTGCAGAATTTGTAAATTGCTCCTAGACCTTTCAGAAAGGGAGAAGAGGGGCATGAAAGTCACAGTGAAGTCCTCCAAAGACTTCCAAAATTAGGTCTGTAAGATGGCTCCTGGCCTCACCCATAGCCCACAACTTTTACTCATAGCAGGAAACACTTTATTTTGAAATGTGATCTAGAAGGATCAGAGCAATGAGGGACCCTAGAAGCGGAGGAGAAAAAGAAATGAAGTAGATCACTTGGCCATCCAGCCATCAGGACCATCTCAGGAAAGTCTGTCCAACACCAGTGTAAGCATTTTCACATGATAGTGCACTGCAAGACTCCAAAAGGCAGCAAGTGAAATCCAAGTATGAAATACAACCCATTGAAGGTAAAAATCTCCTCAAGCTGTTCTTAGTACTGAAGGTTCATCAAATGGCGTTATCTTTGACACATTTTGATACAAGATCTTTTGAGAGAATGATTTCCCCATGGTTGTGCCTAGGTGTTAGCCTTCTTATCCATTAAAAAGGTAGTCACCACAAGTAATATATATACACAACTGTGAAGTTCATCAAAATTGTACTTAAAACCGTGTTTTATATTATTGTTATTGACACCAATAGTGACGTTAATCATATATCTGAACTAGAAGTATCAGTGTTACTATGAAAGACATTTCGGAAACACTTCAATAGCCTGAGATTTCCAAAAGAAAGAGGAAAATAAACATATTTTTCTTTTAGACACTGAATATGAGTTGAAGAACAGGAGAAAGGAAAGACAGACAAGGAGGTTTAACCTTAATTTCTACTGCAGGAAGGCAAGCTGTATTGCTAGTACAAAGCCCTGCTAATAACTGGTCTAAGGAAAAGATTTTAGATACGCAGGAAAAACTTTCTTAATATTGCAAAGCCAAAGCATCCAAAGTGCAAGATGTTTCCTTCTCCTGTCAATACAGACAATCAGTAGAGCTGACAGCAGAGTCAACTATGCTATCAATCCTAAGAACACTTATATTTAAAACTTCAGCCTTACCATTTTTAGTTACCAAAAACTGTTTGTCTGTTGGCAGATAAGCCTTGACTTTTAGTTCTTCTCCTGAAGCCCTGTAAAATGAAGTGCACCATAAAAGGTTGAGAATTTGATGATCTGCAAACAAAAGAACCCTTTTATTTTCACTGTATGTCAGGAACATTTTATATACTCCTCTTGACCTATTAGCAGAATCTGTTTGCTATAACTTTACTCTTCCCTATACAAAGACTTTGATATAGGTCAAAAAGGTTGGTCACCCCTAAACAATGGAGTCTTGGATCAGAACAATTTTCTGTTTCAAAAACTACTTTCACTTTGAGATGGACAAGCAAAGACAGGTTGACAGAATAATCTAGTCTACATGAAATTTCTAGGATCAGCAACAGCTGATCCCAAATGTTGAAGAAAGCAACTGCAGAAAAAGAAACAGACCTCTAGAAATATAAAACCTGCCCATTGTCACCAGAACTCAAGTAATCTTTGCCAAGCTCACATTATTCAAGCATTTGCTTTCACCTTTAGTGGTTTTTGGTTTGAAATGAGAGCAACATTTTAAATGGCCTGTTCCAAACTGCTAGCACATAAACCAGACTCAGCATCATGTTTTCTTGGAAGGAGACAGTAAAAAGGCAAGAAACAATGTTTCAAGCATAATAATTCCTCCTTCAGCTCTTTGTGGCCCAGTATAGAGCCAAGAACCCCGAGGATACCAACTGCACAGACAATGTCCATCTAGGCACTAACTGATTAGTTTTACACTGTAAGACACTGGTAAAACATGAGGAAGCACCTTATTCGCACCCTTATTGTACATGAAAGTTATAGGATTTCCAAGGGCAAGCACTGCACAAAGTGCTCTGATGTGGGCCAACTTGAACAAACTTAATTAACAAACGCTTGTCTAAAATATACCAACTACAACTACTTTCTAGAAATTCCAGTTGCGCATGGCCTTTGCTTTTTCAATCACCAAGATAAGCTCAGAGAGACACGCTGCTACTGCAGCTAAGCACTAAAAATATTCACAGTATGTACCAGCTTATTTCCTCTAAAGCCTTAGGAAAACAAGCAAATAAATCCTCATCTCAACTACTGCTACACAGAACAATAAATAAATCCTGCCTGACTTAAAGATAGCTTCATCACAAAAACAGCAGAAGTTATACTGCAAGAGCCCATGTACTATTCTGAAATGAGATAACTGTATAGTTGTATCTGACGGAAACACATGAAAGCATAGGAAGGGATGCTAGCTTTCTAAGATTCTTTTGATTTTACTTACCATTGCCAAGTAGGACAGTGGTGAACTAAGTGATCTCCAGCTGCAATAAACTGTTAAGGCAGGAAAAAAAAATTAAAGTATGTTAAATATGGCATAAGAAACCAATCTCCATTTTTTCTCTATTAATATTTCAGTTGCACATTCCTTTGATAGATTAACTATATAAGAAATAACTGTTTCTATCAGTTTTCATGCTTTCTTTTAACTCCATTTCAGTTAACTCCATTAACTAACCATGAAAAGCCAAGGTTAAATCCACTTTACATGAAGGAAACCACATACCAAGCACAATAGCAAATTCAGACCAAGTTGAAAAAGCTGTGGTATTACCTAGCAGTCTTGTGACAAGCACAAAAGTTTCTAGACCCAGTAACATTGTTTACTCTGTGATGAAGAAACTATGTTTATTTGCCACTCTTTAAAGTTTTACAAAGACAATGAAGAGCTTAATGTAAAAAAAAAAAAAATTTCTTTTTTGGTGTTCAAACAATTTTGCAGCAAGAAAAGTGAGACTGCATCAATTCATTGAATCAGTGAGAGAACTGCAAGACAGGAATAAACAGTACACATTTTGAATAATGACCATCAGTATGATAGTTCACCACTGATGTTAACTAAATACGGATAACCAAGGCCTTACTACATTGAAAAAGTTATGCATAAGTTTGTCCTGAAGAAATAGCTTTTAAAAATCTTCACTCTACTTGTTCTTAGTACCAGAGATAAGGGCTTTTATAAAATACATCACTATATCAAAGCGATATTGGAAAACTCATCCTAGACTTGTGTACGAACCCAAAATTCACCCAAAGTCTAACCCACTGGGCTTATGTTTTGCCCACCTAAATTGTGGAAGGCAAGCCTGCATTGACAAAGAGTGATTTGTGTGGTCTTTGCACCAGCTGCTTTTGAAAATGAGGTGTGCATCTATTGCTACAGTTGCTTTCTTGTCTTAAAATGCCAGTTTGTAACAACATACTTCCTAGCTGACCAGAAGCCATTGTAGCATGACACTACAAGCTTGCAGCGTGTCAGCCATTTCCTCACCATGCCCTCCAAAGCCAGGCATATCAGCGTAGCAGAAAACAAGATAACACGCTCTGCATGTGGATTAACAGTTTTAATCTCTGCAAACGTGCTTTGCTTCACCCATTTTCCAACAAAAGTCTCTAGCAAAAGTGAAACCTTCACTTTAAAGAAAACAGCAATCCTTCCCAATACACATGGAAATTGTAAAACTCGTTAGAGTTATTGTAGAAACTCCAGAATTATTTAAAATTCTGTTTAAGGAACTTAAACACTGTTTGTGGCACCAATGTTAAAATACACTCTTACAGATTTTTAGGACATCTTATTTCTATTCCTGGAAAGAATTATTTTTAAGATTTGCCTGTACTTAAATATAAAATCAAAACAGGGGTTATCTTTCTGAGGTATTAACTAGTAAAAACTCATGACAGGCAAGAATCTGTTGCAATTAAAGCAAGTACACAGATATATGAAGAGGGAGTAGGTGCCAAGCTTGATTAATGAGTCATCTTTAGCCTTACTGCTAATTGATTCATCTTCAGAAGCAACCCACAGAAACCCCACAAAGTCTATAAAACAGTTAGCATCTCAGACTAAAATACAACTGAATTGAGATTTACTACCCAAGATACCCAAACTTATTCAAAGATAACATCCTAGCATCATTATCAATACTTTCAATTCTTCTTTAGCAACCATTACTAACTAAAGACCAAAATCATCAGGGAAGAAGAAAGTCTGTCAAAGGGACGATCAGCAGATCCATGCTCCAGTCTCATCTAAATTTAACCAAAAAATTTTCTTGCTTTATAACTATTTCCCTTGGCTACTGCTTTGAAGGATCCAATTTATTCACCCTATCAGCATCTAACTTTGTTCAACAAATACATACTATGCGTATTCTTACTGCTGCTTAAATGCTGCAAACTGTTTAATGTAACACAGTGTGGCTCTCGCTGCATTCTACAGAAGTACCTTTTCTTTCAGTACTACTTCAAAGTTTTCTCCCATAGATCAAGAAGGGATTAAGCACTAGTAGAATATTTGTCCAGACTTTCTCAGTCACATTTGTTTTATATATAATATAGGTTATAAATATATTTATGTAATACATAACATATGAACATTTATATACACATACATATATATGAATGATTATCAGAACAGCAGAACATCGTGTTGCTAAGCCTGTTTTTCTGAGCAGTACTCTTCTGGATCATAGAAAGCATGAGTGCTTGCCTGCCATGCAACGTAGCAGAAAAGTGCTAGGCACCAACATTAGGAAAAATACTTCTGTCCACATTACCTACCTGCATCAGTCACCATTTGTTCCATCTTTGTCCATCTCACCTTTATATTTGTACATTCTGTCCCATTTTTCTTTCATTCTACCTAACAGTCTTAACATTGTTTTCGTATACCTTTGTAAAGACAATGTATTTTCAGTAGCAGTTTAATATGAGAAAAAGCAGAACTGGGATGTCAAAATAGCAATGCACAATCCCTGTTTTTACTATTCTAGAAAAAAAAATCCTGTTTGTTTCTCTTCACAGCAGACTCCTCAAAAAAAACCCTGCAACTGCTTGGAAGCAATCCAAAATACAAGCAGCCTAAAGCAGCCTAGAGAAGAGGAAAAAAATAATAATCATTGAATACTTGGTGTGGACAAGCGCATGTAGTGATTTAGACAGAGTTTTGGAAGTAACCAAAAGTGAGGTAAGCAAAGATTGTTCCCAAGATACAAGTTCCACTTTGAGTTGCTTACGGGAAAGGCTTCTGAAATCAAGATATCCCTGATTTAGTCCTGAACTCCCAAAAGAAATAGAGCTGTTTACCCAGCATGAGCTTCCTTACAAGCTTTTCATGACATAATACAGGAAAAAAGCATCCCACATTCAGATGTCAAGAGTCATCTCAAGAGGAATTCTGTTGATCTACTTCATCTGCAGAATAAAAAGGTCATTTAGAACTTCCACTTCATGGAAATTATTTCAAGAAGCAGTAATTACTTGGCAAAGCCATGAACTGTTTGAGATTAACACGGTCATTTTGAGTAAAATTTATCATTACTTTCAAAATATATTTCAAGTTTCTAAATACTTACTTCTTCAGGTGTAATTACTCCAGTTTCTTTAAACTTGGACTCCTGCAATAAAAAAAGTTTAGAAATTTTGAGAACTGCTGATAAACCAAAGTACCCCAGTTTACAGGTAAGACAGACATCTGCTCTGCTTTTGTCTTGGAACTAGCTCTGTCCATAGAGAACTGCAAATGAGCTTGGAAGCAACCTCTGCCAGGGCTGACAGGCAGTTGCTTCCATATCCTATAACATAAGGCTCAACAAAATTACTTGTTGTGGAATGGGAGGTATTACGAAAAGATGTCACAATTTTTTTGCTACAGCCAATTATGTCAATAATGAAGAAAAGATACTAGTAAATGTAATACTGAGTGCTGGGTAAGAGACAGAAAACCAATTGGTTCTCAGAGTCAGGACTTTGGGACTGTTCTAGGCGCTGAATAGCATTGCAATGCATCAATATGAGGCTTTGCAGTTAAGAAATGTCATGAAATGAATGACCAAACCGACTTTTCTGTGCTAGGAAAAGTTACATAGAAAGACTTAGTTGTTTACTTTTTTAATACCCATTTCTGTGCCTTCATTATCCAACCCATGGAAGCAGTTTTGATTTTCTCTCTGTCATGTTTTTTTTTTACGGATGAATGACTAGATGGCAAGCAGCAACATGATTTAGTTCTGCATGGAGAAATGAAGTACTTTTGCATTAAAGGTGACATACACGAAGTTTAAGGATACAACATTTTTTAGCATATTCTAATCTAGAGTAAATGTATTTTGTCTCAGATTTCTGTTTGTTTTTTCTCTTCAGAAAAGTCTCAAGTACCAAGGAAAGCTACTGTTCCCCAGCATTAGAGCTATCTAAGAATTGCTTTTGAAAAAGAGTAAGATTTCAACCATGGTATAGCTCACTTTTCAAATTTTTGCATCATCAACTACCAAGTAACTTCTTATCCTAAAGAACTCATGATTTTTTTTCTATTAAGACTAAAAGCAGCAACTGAAAAGCACATCACTTTTGGCTACAACTTCACCTTATTTGATCATTAGGAACTCATTAACGAAAACCAGCCACTGCTTAACTTAGTAATTCTTGATGCTTTACCTGGGTGCATGCTATCACCTGTGCTACGTAAAAGGAAACAAGCATACCTGTTTCATACAATACTGCTTACTCATTTCCAAAGAGGAGACATTTAAGAACAAGATTACGATAAGCAAAGCAGCAGTTGTACAAACACCATAACATCACTAAATGCTAGTTAACAGAAATCAAAGAAACTCAAACAACCCTAATTTAGTAATTTGGATTACTGTAAAACAGAATTCTCAATAACACATTATGCAACACCACAGTGCCGAGAACTTACTATTTAACCTCAAAATGAACTATAAACAGCAGGCAACATGCACAAACTTGTGTTTCTGGAATTACCTAAGAAAAATATGCAAAATACCCATCCTCTGTTCCCTGAGGGTAAATAGTTCACTTTTTCATCTCTGCACATTCTGTGGTAAGTAAGCTAGTGAGACACACAGGTCTAGTTTCTTTCTGAAGTTACCAAGTTGGAGTATTTATTTTAACCTCTTGTAAAGGGTAAGTATACACATAATATTATCACCTCCCATTTGTGGGAGGTTTTGCTCCTGCCTCCTCCCAATAGTACATCTGGGCACAAGAATTCCTCCAGTATTACACCAGTGTGCAACAGCAACTGTACTATGGTAAACAAGTCACTTCACCTTTCCACACCACGACTCCACTGTAGCCCATATGTGTCACATTGGTGGGCAACTCTAGAAAGGTCCACTATCCAGGCAAGAGCATCCTATATACCACAGAGGGACAAGTTCAATTAACAATTGAGTATCACTGCCTTCTGCCCAAAGATCAAAGTTGTAGAGTACAAGGCATGTAGAGGGTCACACCATAAAACCACCAGCAGAGAGGTTGCTGTCATAAGCAATTACAGTGGAAGTATTTTTTCAAAAACACAGATGAATGTGAAAAACAGCAGTGAAAGAACTACTGACAAGTTAGGCATTCACACACAAAGTTGGGTTTTACATAGAAAAGGATTTGTAAATAGAAGGCACAAGATGGGATGTAGTCTAACAACTGCAGAAAAACACAATTTGTTTCTACCTAAATAAGCAATAACAGGACTTATAACAGATGTGCTGCATGCCTTTACAAGTGGACTGTTACAATTCACTCTCAAGAACCAAACAGTCTATTTCTACTATTTGCAGTTACTTCAGTGCACAGAGCCTTGTACTAACGTAGTCATGCTGATCCAGAAATCAGCTATGCTACATAACTTTATACCTGCTCACATAACAAAGATGTGACTAGTTTGGGTTTTTTTTTTATGCCAGTTGAAGAAGTGGCACTCAAAATAACTATTGCAATGTGCTCCTGAAAACAGGCTTAAACCTATCAGTACAAAAGCACGTTTGGATTTCCCTTCCGGGTCACACAATCACTTAAAGTTTAGTCACTTCAACAGAAAACAGCAACAAATAAGTTATTCCTCGAGCAATAGCACCTGCAACACCTGCACTTTCGAAGGCGGCCTGCACTTCCCAGGTGAACGCTCCCGCCCCTAACAGGACGTGGGCTCCAACTCGGTGTACGGCCCCGGTGCAGGATGAGGCCCGATGGCTTTTGCCGCAAGGCTGCTGCCCCAGCACAACCGATCCCTGAGGCGTTAGAGAGCACCGCGCCCTCAGAGACATCCCCCCC